AGCATAGGGAGGAAATGCAAACCCCAAAATAAGAACCCAGGCTGGACTCGAACCCACAGCCCTGGAGGTGTGAGGCAGCAGGGCAGCAGTGCCACCTTATAGTGAATTTAATTATGAATAACTGATATTCCCATATGAGAAACCTCAGACTGATGAAGATTAAAAGTGTGTTTAATTTAAAGCTCCACTTTGCACTGAACTTACCATGCAGCACACAGGGTCCTCACCTCCAAGCCTCCCATTCAGTCCTTTCCTGTAAGTTGAACAATAAAGGCTGTGATTTTAAGGTCTGTGCCATTTGTTATAATTTTAATGCCATTTGAACTTAGTCTTTCTTAGAAATCCTAGGGTTTCTTGTCACTCACATCAGCAGTACACTGAAATGGAACATCACATTGCCAAAAAGGCTCAACAGAGATGGTTTTTCTTAAGACAGCTAAAAAAATTCAGAGCAAAATGAAGCCGCCTCCTGCAGTTTTACACTGGCATTGTTCACTGAGATCAGGGGGAGCTCAAGTAGGAGAAGGAAGTGTTCCAGAGTTTGGCCTGTTTAAGCTGCACCATAAACCTGTAGAAGAAGTGGGTTGAACTTCTGCTGCGACCAGAATATCAAGCCACAGGGAGAAAACCCCATCCAGGTGGATGCCCAGAAACCCTTCAAGTTGCATTGCTTTTAGAAGCTGCTGTGACTGGCTTACGTTTATTTGACATGTATCCCTTTGGTAGACATGTACAGGCCACTCCTACCACCTGTACGGTTGCCTAATACAGATTCCTATGTCACTTTGACACAGCATTTGCCAACTCCACTGACCCTCTCCATCCAAGGCAGTGACATCAGTGAAATCATGTAGTCATCTGGCTAAAATAAGGAACGGCTCCTCCCAGCACACATTACCACATGCTGGAGGGATGACCCCTACCCGGGTTCAGCAGCCGCCGCTTTCTGGGAGCCAAAGCCCTAAGGCAGGGGTGGCCAATCTTATCCGCAAAGGGCCGGTGTGTGTGCGGGTTTTCGCTGCAACTCCCTAATTAGATTACTAATTAGAGGACTGATTGGCTGAAGAGTCCTCACACCTGGGTTTGAACAGCTGACTTACAGGTTAACTGCAAAAACCTGCATATACACCGGCCCTTTGCGGATAAGATTGGACACCGCTGATCTAAGGCATACAGTGTCCTGTTGGCTCTGAGGCGGCCATCAGCACGGCTACGAAAAGGGCATCCGGAGCAGATAGCAATAAAGACCATTATTAATCTTATGTCATAATTAAAGATTTCAAGCGATACAGAGGACAGGAGAAGCAAATGTGACATTCGCAGAAAGGCCTGACCGACCCCGACTTTAATAACTGAATATGGCGCAAGAGCTGTCATTTAAATTGTTTTGAAAGTAAACTCTAAAGTAAATAAAATGCCAATAAAATACACTACCAGTCAAAAGTTTTTGCATACCACAGGTTTTTAACAAATTTCTATTCTTATTAAGCATTAGAATGTTGACTGATTAACTATAAATGAAAATATAAGTCAAATAAAAGAAGTTTCCTTTATAACATGGAAATAGTATGTAACAGAGCATGTCTGACATCCTATTAAGTGGTTGTGTGTAGATCAGGTCAGGTCAGGTTGGGTGGCACTGATGCAGCACGTTGCCACAACCACCACATGATGAAATGCCTTAGGATTCCGGCTGGCGACCCCCCCAGGCAGACACATGGTATAGTTCCACCCTCCGGAAATAGCCATCCATCTTTCGCAGCCAGGTGCAATGTGGGAGTCCCCTCTGCCTGCTCCAGCTGCTCGGGTCCTCAGCAATGAGGATCATGTGAGCCAGCTCACCGTCAGGGAAATGCGCCTCATGGCCGCAGTGCTGTAACAGAGGCTCCCTCACAATGCAGGTAATGTGCCTCATTCGGGACTCCTCTAGCAACCTCTCTTTCGAAACAAAGTCAAACCAGCGGTACCCAAGGACTCTCCCAAGAGACACAGTACCAAAGGAGTCTAGTCTTCATCTCAGCTCACTGGATAGCATCCATGTCTCACAGCCATACAGCAAGACAGGGAGCACCAGGACTTTAAAGACTTGGGCCTTCGTCCTCGGGACGATTTCGGGAACATCACACGCCCCTTTCCAGCGACCTCATGACCCCCCATGTTCTCCCAATCCATCTGCTGTCTTCATAGGAAGAGTCACCAGAGACACAAATGTCACTGCTGAGGTGACTCTGTTGATAAGGTTGACATTATCCCTGCAGACAGACACATTGCTGATGACTCTGCCTAAAGGAGTCATTAAAGGCCTGGATCTTGGTTGTTATCCAGGACACCCGCAATCCAAGACATTCGGACTCTGTGTTTCTCAAAGTTTCTCTGCTGTTATAACTGCTAGAGGAGGTTACATTGATGAATCAAAGATAAGACATTCTCTTGCTAATAAATGTACCAAATGGTGAACATGTTTGTTAGCAAAGAATATTGAGTGTATTTTTAGTAAATATTAAATAACATGCAAATGTAGGAAATTTGTTTCTGCAAAAACTTTTCACTAGCAGTGTACATTTATATAAAGATGCAACAGATACAACAGGTAAAAAATTGTGAGTTAAGATGCTGAGAGCCTAAGGAAGATTAATGATTGTATAGACTATAGAGTATCATTCTAACCTAAATGAAGCCTTAAAAGGGAAGTTAAAAGTGAACTGTATCAGGCGGGACCCCAGCCACCCTGCAGTGTCACTTTTCACCCTCCTCCCATCTGGGAAGCGACTACAGTCCATTCGGACGCGCACCTCCAGGTTTAGGAACAGTTTCTACCCAACTGCAATCAGACTCATGAACAATCAGTAACCTTGTGTCACCTCCACTGCTACCCACACATATATTTCTGTCTCTGTCTCTATTTATTCCTGGGATTCTGGTCTTATTTATTTACTTATTTATAATTCACTTTATCTTTACGTTCACTTGTCGTCCTGTTGTCTGTCTTGTTGTCTATGTTCACTGTCTGAAGGAGCACATGCAAGCAAGCATTTCATTGTACTGGTACTCGTACTTGTTAGGGATTCAATTATTAGGGGAGTAGACAGTTATGTGTGCACGCGTGATAGAGGGTC